TACACTGAGCATGTTTGTGGCCTTGACAAGTAAAACATCAATAACACTGAGGATGGATGTGACCAATAAACATCAATTACATTGAGCATGTGTCATCTCGAGCAGTAATAATGTTAAGTCTACTGTGTATGTCTGTGACCTTGACAAGTAAAACATCAATGACATTGTGTCATCCTGACCAGTAGTAATGTCATCTACACTGAGCATGTTTGTACCCTTGACAAATAAAACATCAATAACACTGAGGATGGATATGATCAAAAACATCAATGACATTGAGCTTGTGTCATCTTGACCAGTAATAATATAATCTACACTGAGCATGTTTGTGGCCTTGACAAGTAAAACGTCTATAACACTGAGTATGGATGTGACCAATAAACATCAATTACCTTGAGCATGTATCATCTTGACCAGTAGTAATGTCGATTGACCAATAATAATGTTGACTACATTGGGCATGTTTGTGACCTTGGCCAGTAAAACGTCAATGAGTATGTGTGTGACCTGGACCAGTGAAAATGACTACAATGAACAAGAGTGTGATCTGGACCAGTAGACTGTCAACTACACTGAGCATGTGTGATCTGGACCAGTAGAATAGTCAACTGAGATGAGCACATGTGTGATCTAGACCAGTGAACTGTCAACTAAACTGAGCACTTGGGCTCTGGACCAATAAACTGTCAATAACACTGAGCATGTGTGATACATGGACCAGTAAATTGTCATCTGCACTGACCTGTGTGATCGTGAAGAAAACGTGGTTTCTCCAAATTTGCCTCTAGTATGACTACTCTGTGGCGTGGTGGGTTACATGTTGAGCTGCCAACCACCAGGCTGGCAGTTCAAACACAACAGCCTTCCAGAGGAAGGATAAGACTTCCTGGTCCCATAAAGATTTACAGCCTCCGAAACCCACAGGGGTCATTCTACTCTGTCTTATAAAACAGCTATGAGTCAGAATTGACTCATGGTGGTGAGTTTGGTTTAGGTTGGGGTTTTTTTTTTTTTTTGGGGGGGGGGTGTTTTAGTGTTGTTGTTTGTTTATTTTTTTAATGGCTACTCTGATGTTCTGTAAACAGAAGAGTGACCATTGAAGGCTTTCTTATGTTAAATCTTACCATGAATTCCCCTTGGGGTCAGAAAGGCGTAATGGTTGTATAGAAGTGCTTGGATGTTCTTGGGGTGCAACAGGTTTTTTTGCAGTATGAGTTCTCTCATGTTCTTTAAGTAGGGTTAGGTTATAGAATGCCTTCCCACACGCCCCACATTCTTCATGCCTGCCCTTCTGGTGGACTTTCTGATGCTGTATCAGTTGGTGGCGGTGACCAAAGGCCTTCTCACATTCACCACACTTGTGGGGCTTTGTGCCTGTATGGATTCGCTCGTGCTTAACGAGGCTGGACCCATAAATAAAAGCCTTCCCACATTCCTTACATTTGTACGGCATCTCACCAGTATGGATTCTCTCATGCTGAGTAAGGTGATAGCCGCAATTAAAGCCCTTCCCACACTGCTTACACGTATAGGGCTTTTCACCCGTATGGATTCTCTCATGTTTGACAAGGCTTGAGCCCCAACGGAAGGCTTTCCCACATTCCTTACACTCATGAGGTTTCTCACCAGTGTGGATTTTCTGGTGCTGAGTAAGGTAATTCACACGAGTGAAGGCCTTGCCACACTCTGGGCATTCAAAGGGCTTCTCACCAGTATGAATCCTTTTATGCTGAATGAGGCTTGAACCACAAATAAAGGCCTTCCCACAGTCTTTACATTCATAGGGCTTATCACCACTGTGGATTCTCTTGTGCTGAATGAGCTTATACACCCGGCTGAAGGTCTTGCCACAGTCTTTACACTCATAGTCTTTCTCCCCAGTGTGAAACCTCTGGTGCTGAGTGAGTTCATCACCACGCCTAAAGGCCTTCCCACACTCTTTACACTTATAGGGTTTCTCGCCAGTGTGAATTCTCCTATGAATCACAAGGCTCGAGCCCCAACGGAAGGCTTTCCCACAGTCTTGACACTCATAAGGCTTCTCACCAGTGTGGATTTTCTGGTGCTGAGTAAGCTGATTGACCCAGCGGAAGGACTTCTTACAGTCCTTACATTCATAAGGCTTCTCACCAGTGTGGATTTTCTGGTGCTGAGCAAGCTGATAACCACGACTAAAGGCCTTTCCACACTCCTTACACTCATAGGAATTCTCTCTCATAGGAGACTTCTGTGGTGATCTATCAGGGGTACTTTCTGTGCCAGTGGGCGGGTTTTCAAAGTTGACGATCATTTGACGTACGTAGCGCTCTGGACGACTCTGTGGGACTTTCAACTCACCTGCTGCGTGCTTTGACTTTTCGGCTTTGTTTTTTCGACGGTTACTCCATCGGGAGAAACTCAGTTCATAAATGTCCTTCACTGCAGATAAATTCCCGCTCTCAAAAGATGACACCCAATCTGGAAAGAAAGAACGTAGTTGGTCTCCTCTCAAGGAGAAAGAGAGGGAAAAGCAAGAACTAAGGCTGGCACAACCATTTCTCAGCAGAAACAAAAATTCTCTACTGCTTGCTTGAACACAAACCACCCAGTGTTCCTTTGGAAATATGGATTCTATGTCTGGCACCGTAATACACCCAATGAGAAAGTCCTGGAAGTGTTCTTAGTGAGGTTAACCAAGAAAAGCACTCGGTATTCTTACTGATCACTGCTTACCGCAGCTGTTGTTGGGCACCAGCAAATGGGCTCTCTGACTCTTGGTGACCCCATGTGACAGAGGAGAACTGCACTATGGGATTTTCTGGGCTTTCATCTTTATGGAAATAGACTTGCAGAGGTCTGTCCTGTAGAGCTCAGGTGGGTTGGAGCCTTTTAGCGACAGCCAAGGACTTAACCATTTGTGACACGAGGGCTCCATTTAGTTCCTATGATCTCACACAATGAGCGAAAAGTCGGAGGTGGAAAGCACGAAAGCGAAGGTTCAAAATGAGGGCAATTTGTAGATGTTATGATGGCATGGCTGGAAACCCAAGAAAACCGAGCACAGAACGACGGTGGGAAGTAAGACTGTGCGGTTGTGCATGAAACCGATAGATGGATATACAGCTAATATAAAAGGAAAAGCATTCCAACAAAACCACCAACACTCAAAGCCACACGAAAAGACAACATGTAAGACTGAGCTTACGAAGAAATACGAAACACCTGGGAGGACAAGTTGAAGGACATTAATTACTAGGGAAAGGAAAGCCTGCCCTTGAGCTGCTTCTAACTCTGGTGCCAGAGTAGAACTGTGCCCCAGAGAGCTTTTGATATCTGGTTTTTCTTTTTTTCTTTCTGAAAGCAGATTGTCAGTCCTGAGATGCCTCAGGACAGGGCTTGAACCACCAACCTTCCGGTTGGCTGCTGAGTGTGTTAACGGCATGCTAGGGCACTCACTCCTTATTGTAATAACTGGTAATTAAAGAGAGAAAACCTTTTTATCTTTTACTGTGGTTGGGATTATGTACAGCAAAGCACACATTGATTCAACAGTTTCTACCTGTATAATTCCACGACATGGAATGCATTCCTCATCCTCACCCTTCTTTTCTGATTTGTTTCTCCCCCATTAACACAAACCCCTGCCTTCTGAGGATCCTATCTAACCTTGCTGTTGTCAATATAATCCCAATTACTTAGTTCTCAAAAACTTACAATGCTCAAGGCAGCTCAAGACAGACATTTCTTAATTATTTAAGTTAAACTGCTGTCTGGTTTTAAAAGCCATCACACGATAATTTTGGTTTAGTAGTTGAAGATTAAAATCTGTTTGGATTCCCCCCGTTGATCAGGATTCTAGTTTTTATGTATCTTACTAAATAGAAATAGTGCCAAATGCATGGCAGATGAGTAATAAAACTGTTTCCTTGAGAGAATCATTATGGTGAATACACGAATGAGCAACAACAGAACCAGATTATCACTGTTGGGAGCCCCCAATGAAATATTGAGTCACTGTGGCAAATACATGAAGATACAAAAAGAATCTCCCAGTTTTGAACACTCAACAAAATACTGCGTCTTGGCACTCAGTATCTGTGATTGTTAACATCATAAAGCAAGTGAAAATAAGGTATCTGATGATGGCGATGAGAGAAACACTTGGCTTTCTACTCCTATAAAGAGTTAGTCTCGGAAACTCACAGGAGGCAGTTCTACCTTGTCCTATAGGGTTGTTACACGTTGGCATCACCTCAATGGCATTGAGTTTGGAGTTTTGGTGAGTGGCAGAAGAACAGGAAGCCATTTTGGAAAAAAAATTAATAAAGGAAAAAGAAAAAGAGGACCTGGATCTAGGACAATAGCCAATCTTTAGGGAGAGAAAGTTACACAATCTACATCCTTCCTATTCATGACGTGGTTCACAGCAGAAGCCACAAATGAATGACGAGACAAGAACCAAGGGGAGAGGGAAATGAGCCAAAGGTGAAGTTCCTGGGGAGGCCTGGCAGTTGGTGAAGAGTTGCATAGCCGTTCGGGTTCCCGTGCAACAGTGTGTACGGAACAGGCTTTCCCAGTGGCGTCACCATGGGTTCTGTTACAGTTGCTCCATATCCATTCATCTAGTTTCCCTGCCCCCTTACATTTTCATCTTTGTCCTCGAGGAATGGTTGACCGCTGGGCTTCATATAGATGGCTTCTTAAAATTAGCCGAGTACTTAATACACGATACTCATTTGTTTAAAGCCATTTTGCTATTTAGCTTCAGAGCGATCTTTTGGTTAATTTGAAGAGTATATGAAGGGGCTTCAAAAAGTTCATGGAATATGGAATTAAAAGGTAATGGAATTTGACCCATGAGCTTCGCCCACCCCCCCTGGTAAATGAATGCCTCTTTTATTGTATATCTTTAAAAAATTATTGATTGGGATTTAATACATAGATCATTCCATAGTTCAGTCACATAAAGTACCTCTGTGAGCTTTTTGAAGCCTCCTTGAGTCTGAGGGAATCTTCCAGTCTCCATAGTCCAGTAGGTTTGGGGGTTTTGTGTGTGTGTGTGTGTGTGTGTGTGTGTGTGTGTGTGTGTGTGTGTGTGAAGGGATTTGAGTTCACGTTCATAATTTTCTCCTATTCTATTTGGTGTTGGGCACCATCTAGTTTTTCTGGTCTCAGCAGCCTTGGACTTCGAAGGGCAGTGTTTAAGTATAACATTCTAATATATATTCTTGCTGTTATTGAGAAAATGCACAGCAACATATACTCCAATTCCACGACTTCGCTTTCAGAGCAGCTCCTTGCACATTAATATCAGCAGTGGCCCCTGAGGCTCCTAAGGCTTTGGAGTCTCTGTTGACACTTTGATCCCTCAGAGGTAGTACTTAAAAGAGCCCAGCGCTCAAGGGAAACATTCCTTACTAGTGAAATTAAACCGCTGTTTGGTTTTAAGACAACTTCAGGGGATATTTTTGGTTTCATATTTAAGGATTATCTCCGGGCAATGGTTTTTGGGGTTCATCCAGCCTGTATGGCTCCAGAAAGTTTGGAGTTCATGAGAACCCGCAATTCCACTATGCATTTCACTTGCCCCCCCCCCCGCGGGGGGGCCCCCCCCACTATTGGTCAAGATTCTCTCAGTACCATAGTTTCAGGGAACGCAACAATGCTTTGATTGAGCTTAATTTAAAATGTAAGGAGTCCCTGGTTGGGAGCAATGGTTAAGTGCTCTGGCTACTGGCCCAAAGGCTGGCAGTTGAAACTACCCAGGGGTGCCTCAGAACGAGGAATGATGACCTGCTCCCCAAGTCCACGGCCTTGAAAATCGCACAGTGTCCTCTGTGGCACCCGCCTGCCGCTAACAGGAAGAGTGAGGTGGGTGTGCAGTTATCTGAGGCAGGGACTCACGGACGGAGACGAGGTTGCCGTAGTTCTCCAGCATCACCTCCCAGTACAGCGCCCTCTGCGCAGTGTCCAGGCAGTCCCACTCCTCGTGCGAGAAGTCTACGGCCACGTCCGCAAACGACACGGGGCTCTGAAAACACACGCCCGGGTGGGAGTGAGCAGGTGAAGGGAAGCCCTTTCAAGGGAAAGGCGGAGGGAGGGAGGGCGCCCCTGCGGGTGGGTAGGTGGGAGTTGAGCAGGCAGAAAACAGAGATGCGCCCAGCTGGTGGTCCAGGGCAAAGGCAACGCACCTACAGGATGCGGAGGAAACCACGCCCCCTCCCCACGCCTCCTTCCCCAGCCAACCACCCATCTGTCCGAGTCATTCTGTGGCAGCCTGTGTGCTGCTGTTTCCAGGCTGGACACTCTGCTCCCGGCCCCCCGCACACCCCGCCCCATTTCAAATCCCAGGCAGGGTCACCCAGGGCAGACAGGTTTCAGGGGGGCTTCCAGACTCAGACTAGGAAAGGAAAGCGTGGCGACGAAATGACCCAGTTCTGAGCGTCATCCCATGAGAACCGCATGCATCGCCAAGGGCAAGGTCCTACGAAGTGCTGGAAGGCGAGCCTTCTAGGTTGGAAGCATCGAGCATGGTACACAGCCGGACAACAACTAACTACAACAACGCCGAGAGCTCCACCGAGCGGCAGTGAGAACCACCTGTGGAATGTCTAATCACCCAAAGGTGTCAGGGGAGAGTGAAAAATCATGCATGTGTCCTGCCTGCTTAAGAGCGGAGCCCGGAATGCACCTGCCCCACATTTGCTCAGCAAGCGTGGATTCCCACATCATCTTTTTCCCTCTAAGGGGAGGTGGGGGAGCCCAAACTCTACACTCATCCCACCTCACCCACGGACCCCTGTACCATGACAATTTTGATTCATCGCAACCTCTGTCCGATAGAGCAGACCTGCTCCCAAGGGCTGTAAATCTTTACAGGAGCTCACAGCCTCCTTTTTCTCCCTTGGAGTGGCTGGTGGGTTTAAACCTCCAACTCTGTGGCTAGCAGGTTACCACTTAACCCACTATGCCACTGGGGCTGTTTTCCATTTCCCAAGTGGAACCTGAAACCTTTGCTCTTAGCAAACAGGGCTTGCCTACTGGAATGTTTTCCAGCCCCAGTTTCGCCATGAGGCCAGGCTGTCATTTAAGCGGCATTTCCTTTGTCACCAGGCCAACACAGGGGCCGTCAGACGTCATTTTCTACACATTAGACGCTTAGGCTGTGGGTTGGCAGGTTTCCTCGTAGTTCTGCTTGTACTGGATTATCTCCTCCTCCTGTACCGGGTGGTTGTCTTACCTGGAACCATCCCTTGTCTCCGCTCTCTCTTTGGTCCTGAGTTAGAGGCTAAGACAGCACAAGGACCCCAACAGAGCCCAACCCCTTGCGGCTGAGCGGCGGTCGACTCAGGTCGACCCCGTGCGACGCAGAGCAGAACTGCCCCCACGGGCTGCGCACCTCTTCCTCTTCTTTGAAAGACTCCAGTCGGTTTAATAAAGCTGCTTCAACAAATAATTTTGGGGAAGAAAGCACATATTCCCACCCCCACCCCCTTCCATGGGTAAAGATGTGGGCGTTTCGCTCAAAAATGCATTTTAATAAACTTCCTTCAGAAGCCGCATTTCCTTGGGTTTGGGGTGACAGTCGGGGTTCCCACTCAACATTTTCCATGCGCGTTGCTTGGTCACACTGGCTGGGTTCTTTACAAGCTGTGAGCATCCTCAGTATTATTTCCATCCCGGCTTGTCCTGTTTCTAGCCATCTCGGTTCCCCGGCCCCCTGGCCTTCTGGATCAAGCCTTCATGGAAGCCGATTACCTCGTCTTTCTTCCCAGAAATGACGGGGTGGGGCCGAAGCACCCACTTTTGGCTTAGGTTAGTAGTCAAGAGCAAGCTGGGCCCCACCTGGGCCTGTGATTTAGAGGATGTTCTTAGTGGCCGTTGAGCCGGTTCTGACTCGCGTCATCCAGTGCCCAACATCCTGGAAATGGCGTACTTCCAGGACACTGTGGGGAAATGAAGGTGCCTCAATGGCACAGCAGTTGAGCCCAAAGGTCAAAGGATCAAACCCACCAGCTGCCCCGTGCTAGAGAGAAGAGGCATTTTGCTTCCATCAAGATTTACAGTCTTGGGAAACCCAAGGGGGCAGCTCTCCTCTGTCTTAGAGTCCTTATGAGTCAGAATAAATTGCTGCTGGTTTCGGTTCTGGTGTGATATGATCCAGGGTGACACAGCTGTCACCCGCGCCCAGCAATTTAAGAGCAAATAGAATCCTGTTGCCCCAGAGTTATGCTCTCCACGGCTGTAGGCCTTACGCACAGCCCTACGCAATGTTGAGAACCTCAGAAAAGTTGAACTCTCACCACACACCACCACTGAGACCAGCGCATGTGAACAATCCCTCTCATCTACCTGGGAAACAAAATCAGTGCATTTCTGTTTCTCCTAGGTGGTCAGACAGGGCCAGCACTTGGAGTGCATCAAACCAGAGATGTGACTCAGATGTTTCCCTAACAGACTTTTTCCACCAGGGCACCCATCTTACTCTTGACAAGAAAGTTCAACACAGGGGACATAATGGGCGACGTGTCCTATAACCGACTGGCCATTAGCCACACGTGGAAGCCAAGGGGCTTGAATTGTGCTCCTCCTCCTGGGCCCTGCAAACGACATGTGAGAAATCCTAACTAACCCCCTGCCCTGTGGATACTTTTCAATGACAGGATTGGGCATAGATACTGACTATCCCATGGGCTGCCAGAAGCCTGGGCAAATCTGTCTGAGAAAGCTCCTCAGAAGCTAGTGCAGGGAGTCCTTTGTGTCGTGTACACTGGATGTATGACTAAGGAGCGGTTAACCTCTGAGAAGGATGTCATGCTCGGTAAGGTAGAGGGCCAGCAGAGAAGAGGAAGGTCCGCCACAAGATGGACGGACACAGAGGGTCCAACAACGGGTTCAAACTCGGCAGTGAACACGAGGAGGTGCGGGAACCGGGCATGTTTCATTCTGCTGCGCGGGGGTCCCCCAAGGAGCTGTCCCTGACTCAGGCACTGCAACACTCCCGCAGCTGTGACCACACTGGGGAGAGGGTTTTCTCTGTGATTCCACTGAAGTGGTGATCGGTGTGGGGTGTGTCTTAAAGCAACCGCTGCTGAACTAGGAGGATGCACTTTGGGCACAGAACCGAGGAAGCACAAACGGGGGTGGGGGGACACATGGATGCCATGTAGAAAGTGCGAAGGAACAGATGCTGACGAGAGACTAGGGCCTTCCCCCGGAGCTGAGAGAGTAGGCTTTCCCTTGGAGCTGGTGCCCTGACGTGAGGCTTCTACCCTCCATAACTGGAAGAGGACAATTTTTCTGTCCTTGAAAACCAGGTATTTGTGGCATTTGGGGGAGAGCTGCCTGGCATGAAGGAACCTGGAGATGAAGACTACCTGGCTTTATCCAGGAAGAACGAAAGAGGGGCAACTAGGGAGAGTGTGTTTCGGGGGGCTTCAGGAGCAGGAATAAAAACACCTGCATTTCTAGAAGGAAGGAGAAATCCACACTTACATCAGCCACACTTTGGCAATTTAAGAACCAACCAGTCTGCATCATGCTGATTTTGCTGAAGACACTCGGTCCAGAGAAGCTGGAGCTAGAGAGAGAAAGAGAATACAGAGGTGTTAAAAGCAGGTACAAGACACCAATATTCAGTGCAGTACCTTTACGATGGCTCCCAGGTGGAAACCAGCAAAATGTCCATCCACAGATGACTGATCAATAAGATGTGCTCTAGACCTATGAGGGGCTACCACATCCCCCCCAAGAGAAAGGAGGTCCTGAGGCACACGATGAAGGAGGAACCTTCGGAACATCATGTTGAATGAAGTCAGCCAGTCACAAAAGGCCAACTACTTTATGAGCTCATTAAAAAAAAAGGGTGGAGGGAGGGTGGGGTAGAAAGGGGGAACCGATGACAAGGATCCACATATAACCTCCTCCCTGTGGGATGGACAACAGAAAAGTAGGTGAAGGGAGTGGGTAAGATATGACAAAATAATAATAATTTATAAATTATCAAGGGTTCATGAGGGAGGGGGGAGCAGGGATGGAGGTGGAAAAAAAAATGAGGCGGTGATACGAAGGGCTCAAGCAGAAAGCAAATGTTTTGAGAATGATGATGGCAACACATGTACCAATGTGCTTGACCCGGTGGGTGGATGGATGGATTGTGATAAGAATTGTAGGGGCCCCCAATAAAATGATTTTATACACACACACACACACACACACACACACACAAGTCTTAGACAGGACAAAGGCAAAAACAGAACGTCCGGATGAGGAAGACCTTCGTCAGAAGGTCAAGAGAGTGTCCAGAGAGTCCCAGGCATGCAGCTACGGGTACTTAGAGGGGATATGGAACACCAAGGAAATGGCCATAAACACACTGCTGCCTTATGTGGAACAGATTGAACCAAACACATGAACTTCTAGCGGCCAAGTCCGTTTCAAGTCCCGCTGACCCATGTGATACCGCAGACCGACCCTTCGCAGGGCATTCTGGGCGATTGATCTTTGATGGGAGAAGATTGCCGCGTCTGTCTCCCGAAGGGCTGCTGGGTGTTATCAAACCACCACACTTGGGATTCGCAGTTTAACTGTTACACTTGATTCCGATTCCTAGAGACCCTGGAGGGTAGGGGTGAACTGCCCCAGCAGGTTTCTGAGACCGTGAACTCTTTAGAGGTGTAGAACGTTTCCATTTTCTTCCATGACGCCGATCGGGTTCTGTACAATTGTGTAGATTTATTGCCGTTGTTAGGTGTCTCTGAGTCGGGTCTGACTCCACCGGACCCCCTGGACAATGGAACAAGATACTGCCCGGTCCTCTCATCGTTCCTCTGCCTCAGCCCAGCAGGGGCAGTGCTACTCCCCAAAGATAGTTTCTCTTTATAGACGGTCTCCTCTCAAAATGGAAGAGAACGCTAATTTTAAAACAAAGAAAGAAATCCTTAATGATCGACGTTAGCGTAAGAGACTCTCAGACAGATAAGGAGAAATGCTTCCTTTTAACCTGCAACCAGTGGGAGCAGCGGGAGGGGACAAGATTCCAACCTCACTCATCTCCCCCACCGAGCCGGCTCTGAGACGATGCCGAGCTGAGAATGTTAGAGGAGGCAAAACTGGATCTTCGATATGCTATGGGAGATTTAGAAGGGCATGTTATTTTATCGTGGGTGGGGTGAGAGGTCATCCAGAGCTCTCCCTTCCATCATGTAGACATCTGTTATTGCGTGACATTGGTTGCAACCCCCTTGTTATGATCGCATTCTCCCTACTTCCTCCCTGGGTTCCCCAATTCCATTCCTCCTCTCCTGCGCCTCCCTGTCTTCCGGGCTTGGTTTTCTCGGGCAAGTGCCAGCTACCCTTTGGGGGTGGTTAGTTGGTTGTTCTGAGAAGCATGCTGCTCAAGGGGAGGTTACTATCTTAGCAACAGAGTTGGCTGCCCCCCACCTCCCTGCAGGAGGGCTTACGCACAGTGCTTACGCGCACGTATCTTAGTAACGGGGTGGGGGTGTGGGGGGCCGTAGCCGTCCCTGAATTCCCATTAGGGACTAATTCGCACATAGCTCAGGAAAGGGACATGGCCCATCCCAACCCATATATCTTAGTAATGGGATATAGCTCTTTCCATCCTCCCTAAAGGTGTGCAAAGCATGGATTTCAGTAATGGCCGACCTGGCCCTTCGTAGACCTGCAAATGCACTTATCTCAGTTAACAGAGG